AATTATTTAAAAAACTTCTTAATAAACTTAAATTTCTTTTAATAAAGTTGATAAAATATATATTAAACTATATTTTTATATAATAATTATATTATTAACATTAATATTTTATTTTATTAAAAATTAATACTTTTTTTTTATGTTCGCAGGCAAATTTGCCTACTCTACAGTTTAAGGGATACTATGATATTCTTTGTATTTAAAGATAAATATAAAAACCTTTTTCATAAAAATTTTTCTATTCTAAAAAAAAAGAGATTAAAAGACCATTCTTATAAACAATATACAAAATAAAATTATTAAAAGATTTTATACTATTCTGAAATTAAATAATATTATAAGATTGTTTAATTTTAGATACTTTTTTTTAAATAAAAAAATTTAAAAAATAAACTATATATTTAAATATCTTATAATAATCACTTGTATCTCTTAAACTATAAGTATTAAATCATTTTTAAAACATTTTAGAAAACTTAAAATATTTTAATATCTAATGGTTATAAAAAAAATAAAATGAAAATTTTAATTTTATTATATTATAATGTATTTAATAACAGTATTTTTAAATTTTTAAAATTTATAAATTGTTAATAAGTTGTTTAAAAATTTACATAAAATTCACTTTAAAAAAATAAAAAGTTTAAGTATTATTAATAAAAAATAGTCAAATAATATCACAATTTATTTTATTAAGTAAAAAATAAGTTGTTAAACTAGAAAAAATAGAATAATTAAAGTCATAAATTCTTTTAAATTCTTTTAAAATTAATAAAATATTAAATTAAACTAAAAGAAAAATGGGTAAATCAATTAACTAAATAATAAATGATTTAATTTTATCAAAAATATTTTTATTTAGAATCTAAAAGATTATATTATTAGATTTATTAAACAAAATAAATAGAAATTAGATATTTTATATGTAATCATATAAAAAATCTGCTATAAAAAGTCTTATATAGATTTATCAAATGATTTAAAAATATTAAATTAAATCATTAGATTTTGCATTTATAAAAAGATGTAATTTTTCTTAATATTAATATACTTAAAATTTTATAAAAGTTTTCATTATAAACTGATGAATTATTAAAAAACTTCTATTAATTTATCATCTATTATCTTAAAACTAAAAAAATATTTGAGTTATTTAATATACAAAACTTTAATCTTGTTTAATATAGTAAAACTTTATTATTAATAATATGAGACCTTTGTAATAGAAAAGGAAAAACAGCCAAAAAAAATCAATTTTATTTTTATATACCAAATATGATTTTAGATCAAAATATATTCAGATTTAGCATTAACTCAATTTTTATTTTTTTCAGTTGTTTCTTCCTTTTCTATTGCAAAGGTCCATATAAATAAAAAATAATTTATATTTATTGAATTGGCAATAAAAATCAAATTATAATTATTTAATATATATTATAATTATAAATCTTTTAACTTTTTAGATTTTTTATTTATATATAAAATTTTTACTAATTTGTATTTTTAAAAAAAATAGCTATCATTTAGTGAACAATTTTATCAGATATTATTATTTAGTTTATAAATAGACAAATAAAAACTATTTAAATAAAAAGATATACTTTTTTATCAAAAGTTTTTGCTTAGACCATTTTTTAAAATTTTAAATTACATTATCTCGCTATTTAATAATTGTAAATAGATTAATTATAATTTATTAGATTTGTTATAACCAGATGTATCTAATAGTGCTTATTTTATATTCTTAAGATCAATAAATAAAAATTTATTTACAAAAGTCTTTAAAATGAAAAATGTAAATATCTTTTTATCTATTAGTGATAAAGATATAAAAATACTATTGTTAAATGCGTCTTATTATAATAAATCTATTAAGCTATATTTCATCTTTAAAGATTAATAGATGATAAGAAACTCCAATATTAAAATCTGAAATAGCTAAGACAAATTAAATTTTGTTATATTATTTTTTTAAAATCAGAATTATCACTATAAATCTGATCAAATTTGGTAATATTTTTCAGGCTTAACTAAAAACTTGTATTATAAAAAAATAGAAAATATGATTTTATGATTTAAATTATTTAAAAAATGGCAAATCATAAGAAACTAACTGTTTTTGAATGTGGAATAATTGTTGGATTTTATTAAGGTAATTATGGAGTTACTAACATTTCTAGTATTTTAAATATACTCAAAAGTACTTACAAGAGTATCATTAAAAAATTTTGTGAAGAAGGTCTTACAAATATTCTTTCTCATTCAGGAAGACCAATCCTGTTAAATGAACATGAAGAATGAACATTTATATGCCAAGCTTGAAAAAATTGAAAAGTTTCTATTGAAGAAATTACTGAAAGTTTAAACCAACTCAGACTTATCCAAATTAGTACTAGTTTTTCTAGACGTGTATTATTTTAGTCAAAAAGAAAACCATTTGTTTCAAATAACAATAGTAAAAAGTGCTTAAAGTGGTATCAAGAGCGTAAATTTTAGGATGAAGAATGGAATAATATAATTTGGAGTAATAAATCTCAGTTTTTTTTTATTTAAAACACAGGATTATTTATTATCAATAATTTAGTGACAAATTACCCGCCACATATGCAAGTAGAAGAGGGGAATCAACTAAAAAAAATTACTTTATAGTTAAAGAAAAATGTGTCCAGACTTAACAACATTAACTCAAAAAATATTTTCTATTTCTACATTTTTTTTTTTATTTGCAAATTTTACATTTATAATGAAAAATATGATCGCAACTTCTGAAGCAGTATTGATTGCCTTATATGGCTATATAAGGACCGATCAATGTATCAGGTCTATATTAACTATAAATGAGTTCCGAATTTCTGCTTATTTGCCCTTGATTTCTTACATTATACAAGCAAAGATGACGTATAAATGTATGTTAGCCGATATACTGGAAGAAAAATGTATCGTAGTTCTAAATCCCGAAAGAAATACATATATAACGTGGAAACTACCTTCACCTCAAACTTCCAAACCTTTAATTCTAAAAAAATTTAAACCAAACTTTAATTCGTATATGATCTTTCAATTAGATTGCACTTCCGAAATTATTAAATCAAAAATTTTTATTGAAAACACTTCTGAAACGGAAACTTGTAAAGCAACCGCTGCTATTTGGAATAACGCCGAAGAAAGCGTTAAAACAGAATATCACAATCTTAACTTAAATATAAAAAAGTTGGTTTGTGAAGAAGCAGAATGTCGTGATGATGAGCAGAAATAATTTTGATTTTGTCGGTTGTTTCGGTTGTGGATGGTTGTTAACACTTCTGCATTGATACTTTTGACGGTTTATTATACTTTTTTCTTATTATCTTTTGAAAATTTTTTATTGTTTCGATTTATCGTTTCGATAAAACTTAATTGTTCACCATAAATAAAACATACTTCATCCTATACAATTTAACAAATTTAAATCACTCCGACAAATTTTACGATTTCAATACCACATATATTTTTTTCATAGATAAAAATATAAAATTCGTCAACATTACTAATTTTTAAATTGTTTTACCCGTAAAAAAAAAATAGATGAGTCATCGGACTTTGATCGAAATAAACATTCACGAGTTTTGAGATTTAAGTGTATTGATTCATATTTATTTATAGCCCTCTAATTCTGTTTTTTTAAAAAAATTACATAATATGGCATCGATATAAAGAATAAATTGTATTTAAATCTATAGTCGTGATAAATAAATGAAGTCCCATTAAAATTTTATCAATCAACGATTCAATTCATGTATCTGGATTGAATTAGTTAAAGTAAAAAAGAGTGACAATTGAATAAAGTATTAACAAATTTTTTGTCAAAGCAAAAGGTGAGTCCAATTGAACTTTGACAATATTTTGGATAAAGCCTTCAATAGTTGAGATGTTAACGGTTCATTCAGAGGTAAAACTGGATTGTAGACCATCTTATGATTGTAACCGGAATTTAGACCGAAATCTAGATTGAACTTTAGATGGATTAGATTAGTAAAAAACTTTATTTAAAAAAATACTAAAAAAAAATTTCTTCTTTTATTGTGATATAATTTTCAAAACTAATCATAGCTCTAAGTTAAAAATCACATAAGTACGCCACACAATACAGTTTTATTTATTCGATGTACATCACACACTACAAACCGCATATAAACTTTATTAAAGATGTACTGTAAATGTTATATTATATAGTGAAAAGAAATTGATACGAATGCAAATCAATCGGAAAGTATAGAATTAGAGATAAGGATGTACAAGAAAGCAGACATAGAAGAGCTCTTCAGTGTCGGAGATTAAATCAGACCGAAGTTAGGTTTATAATGGCATCTGGAACTGTTAATCTGCAAATTGCATCTTAAACTCCTAGTACGAGTGACATGTATCTTTTTATAATCCTCAGCCCACCGGCACGCAACCGTACGAACTGTCGTAAAGCCCAAATCGTGCCAGACTATTACAATTTGAAGCCTTTTCCAACATTTCCTTGGTCGGCCATAGAAGGTTTTCAATATGATGCTCACAACACGTGAAATGAACTACCCACTTCTCGCCTGCGAAAGTTGATTTGCACTCGATCAAAGTGTTCTCTTAACTCTTTATTCGTTGTTGATAACAGTTCGAGAATAATAGTTGGCTGGTTATGAGAAGTCTGGCATGTGATAGGTGGCAAGATTACTATGTCGCAGTAATTATGTCCATATCCTCCATTCGGAAGAGGTTTAGTCAAGTGCCATTGACCAACGACTTCTAAATTCTTTCTTTACTTAACCAATTCACCAGGATTCTATTTAATTCGGTATCGTGAACGCTTTCGCGAGGAACGTTTACATAATATATACTCATATGAGCTGTTTTGTATGATAAATCGGATGCCCTTTTAAGGACACCTTTGTCAAAAAATTAATAGCCTCTTACAAGACCTTCAGGGTGTCTATGGTACCATTATTTCGCCGAAGAACAGTTGTTTTTGGGGCGTATGGATATACATATAATAGGAATAACGAATTTCCGAACCAGCAAATCCATGAAAGTGGAAGTCATTTTGAACGTATGTGGTTCATCTGCATTTTCAAGGACGCCTTCACTCACCAAGAATTTAGCTAGCTTTATATCAGTGGTGGATTTAATGCCTCGAAGTTTCATTAAGAGAGAACTGCAGACAGCCTCGTATTGGGAGGAAAGCAATATATCGAATTCATCGATGAAGATAATAAAGGGTTTGTCGTGTAGATTTATATTGATTTCCTTCAAGAACAACAAAAGGTTACTCGTTTTCAAAAAAAACCTCCACTGCTCGACACTTTCTATAGAAAGTATTGATTCAGCCGAATCAACTCCAAAGATGTGAATAAGCATCTGACGGACTCTTCGACCAAAAGATCTCCAGAAGCTTTTTGTATCATTAAATGAAAGATCTTCCAAAGTCACGCTATCCAGCAAAATAGTTGTGTAACATCAATTAGTGCGATTCTGAAAATTCTTAATCAAAAAGTAAACTAACTTACTAGATGCAAACGAAACCAAATTTGTTCAGTTGTTCTATAGCTCGAAGTGATCGGGTAGATTTGCCAGAGGCGCGCGGACCATGTAACAATACATATTCTCCGCAACGAACAAAATTGATTAATCTATGGTTACTCTCAAAATCATATATAATAAATAAATTTTTCGTTGAATATAATAAAATAAAATCAAATAAATAAATAAATAAATGAAACTTTTTCGATCATTACAAATCACATTGTATTTTCGTTGATATAAATACACGAAATAGAATATAATTTTGATTGAAACGTTTATTAGCAAATAAAAATTTTTTTTATTCGATCAGTCAGTTTTTATATTTTTATAGAATACTAAAGTTTGAACAAAGTTTAAGTATTGTATTACAGTTGATCAAATAATCTGAACGCGGTCCCGATATCTAAGTAAATAATAAATATGAAATTATCCTTATTTGCTTAGTAATTACATAATTAACATTAATTGGTACAGAACCGTTGAAGTGGACAAGATTCTTTTTTTGCACGAACGAACGACGTTATTGCGACAATAATGAGATGATTCTATGAATCTTAAAAAAGAGAAAAATCAAAAAATTTGAACGGGCTGCTAGACAATTTTTTTTGACAATTTAACGCCATATTAGTTTTTTAGTTCCAAAAAAAACCTATATAATATAAGGACTTGTAATTAACATATTAGGTAATCGTAAGTCATGAAATTCAAAATATGAATATCTGTAACGTGATTTTAATAGCAAACCTCCCATATATTGTTTATAATAAATTTTATCAATGTGATAGATGCTTTTCAGATTTACCTCTATCTCTCCCTCCCTCCCTCCCTCTCCCTCTCTCTCTCAAGAAATGTAACATTACGTTATAAAAAAAACCAACATCCAAAATTCATTCACTCGCTCGCTTCTTCTATTAAAAATACCAAATCCATTCACTCTCTTGCTATGAGTGATAAAAATGATTTTAAAATGTTCACTATTCTTCCTAAAAATTTAGAAACTTTTGTGATACTTAAACCAAATTACCGCTACATTCAAATTACCATTCCTCTCTAAATGAGATTTTGAATAGACACAAAGGAAAAAAGTTAAATGCATTCAAAAATTACAATAAATAGCAAAGCAATTTAAAGATTTCCTTCAAAAACATCCCTAATATTTGGAAGGTAGTTTCAGAAACTTTTAAAAAGTATTATAAAACATCTTTCAAAAGAGCTGGAATAAAGTAATCAAATTTCTGAACTGGAAATAATTCCTTATGTTTCAAAATAAAAAATGAATTGAACAAGAAATGATTAGATTTAGAAGAAGTCATTGAAGATGGTTCTTATGATATAACTAGTGCACTTTTGCCATCTAATAATATGCTAATAATATTTTATTATGGCAAACCGCAAGAGGCAGAAAATTCTTTCGTGGAACTTGATAATTTATCCAGTTTTCCTGTGAAAAATACTACAACAAACATATAAGAGGTGGAAAATTCTTTTATGAAACTTGATAATTTTTCCGTTTTTCTGTGAAAAATACTATGATAACATATTCTTCACAGAAATTCACGCAGGTGACGGAAAGTTCTTTAGTGAGACTTGATTATTTTTTCATTTTCCCATTGTTAACCCTACGCTCAACCCATCGAACTTAAGGTAACTATAACTTAATAACAGGGAGTAACGTATGAGAAACTACTAAGTTACTATGAAATAAGTCCTATTATAATCAACCTTAGGTTTATACTTTTAGACGAGTAAATAACTTTAACAACTTGTAAATACGATAAACATAATTGACATGTTAAAGGATTTTTAATATATGTAGTTTAGAAAGAGATTCCTTTATTATAGAGATTTGTATGCTTAGTAATCCTTAACCTTAGATTTTAAGTCTTGAACTCAAACTATTGAGTTTACACTATTATCTCTGCACTTTTGCAAAGACAAGTTTCTATCCTATTTATACAAAAATACAATTATAAGAATTTACTATCTAACGCTAAACTATTTTATAATGCTAAGATAAATATAAAAGATAAATTATAATTTAACGATAATACTAATATACTAAATAATAATAATAAAATATAAGAATAAAATAAATAAAATAAAAATGTTAACTAAGTTAAAAATGCTAATGATGTTAATAACGTTGATCATTCATCAATCTTTGTGACGCAGTAAGATTGACTTCATATGGTATTAATTTCCTCCTCTAAATTTGCAGCTCTTGCAAAAATTTCATAGGCTTCGTCAACTAAGTCCTTAAATTCCTGGAATTTCTAAAAAATTTTGCAAAAAGAATTTTGCAGAATGCACACCGTATTTACGCGTGACCTATCATAGGGGAGCATGCCATATTCATGCTATCCGCAATTGATCTTACAAATATAGGTTTTTCTAATGTTATATAGAGCTAAAATTTGTTAACTTTCAAACTTATAGGACTCAAAATTCTATATAAATAGCTTGATTTTGAAGGATCTTCTAACTGAGGTCACGTGATAAATTATTTTCTTAAATATTAAAATTTTACACATGTTAATCCAATTATTCAAATTTAAAACTTCTTAATTAATCTCCTTTCTTAACAATTTTTAAATAAAATGTCTTCTAATAATTGCTCTCAAAATGATACTTGAAAGAAAGTCGAACGTATGAAAACTTTCTGTTCGCAACAAAAAAATAAAGTTCATAATCAGTTTGCGACTTTGCAAACTCAAGCACAAGAAGAAGAAAGAAAAAGGTTGCTTATGGCAGACAGATTGGCATATCTTGTAGCTGATCAAAATATTCGCGAAAAACTGTTATGACAAAGAATAAATATGTTAGAAGCTGAAAACCTTCATCAAAAAGAGGCGTTTTTAGAGCAGTGGTTATTTTATAAAGACTTGTGGGAAGATCAAGTGTTAACTTCAGTTGGGTGGTCTGGATGGTGGTTAGGATTTTTATTTTTACTTGGTCTTTTTCTTGGAATTTTTTTTCGCTGGTAGTTCGTTGGGTTGGACTAGTAATTGTGACTGGATTGTATATTTGTCAATTATTTATAAATAAAATTATATACTTGGTAGCTTGATTATATTGATCTGATCTTCATCCATAATATGCTTAATCTTTTTTCTATATTCAGAAAGTTCATTGAAATCTAATATTTAAGAAATCTACCACGAGAAAATTTGTTGAACATAATCTAAAATTAACTTTTGATCAACTGATTATGTCATTTAACTTTTCTTAATACATAAATATTGCGTATAGTTTCTTTTTCAGGAAAACTAACATTTTCATTTTCCTTAGTTTTTATGCTTGCATTTTGTCAAACTCTTAAATTATGCAGCTTACAAAAATTTCCTGAATTTTGTACTAAATAAAGAAATATTGATCAAAAATATGCTATACAAATATTACGTGATTATCTAATTTGGTAATATTGATCAACTACGCCAATTTTAAATAGGATTTTGTTCTATAGATTTCCATACAATGATCATTATCCAATATGATCCAATAGATTTTTGTTTATTTTTCTGCAAGAAAATAATTCTCACAATCCTGAGAATTTTTTATAGCCACTTCTTTGAGTATAAATATTTATTTAAAGATTCTTTCTATTTTTCACAAATTTTTCATTTTCTTCCCAAAACTATTGCAAAACTTTAAACTTCTTTTTAAAATATTTTTAACTTTATATTTTCAACATGGGTAAACAACAAAGAAGCTGTTTTTTTATCACTCGCCAGTCTGCTCTTTCCAGAGAACATCAGGAATATATCAACAATATGGAGATAGAGAATCATCGACAACGACAGGAAATTATTAAATTAACTAACGAACTAATGACTCTTTCTTCTCGTTTAGACAATAAGGATGAAGAGTTTATGGACTTAGAGTTCCTCTATAATGATCTTCAGCAACGCTTTAACGATCTTCAACAATAGATAGCTCCACCTTCAGAAAGAGAAGAGTGACTTTTAGAGGAAATAGTCCATCTTCAGCGGTTATTTCAAGAAGTAATCGTGCAATTGCATCAGAGAAGTTGTGAATTTAACTTTTCTTATCACGTTTGTAATAATTAAAGATTGCTAACATTAATGAAAAGGGATGTCGTACACTTTAGCTGATCCATATTTACGCTTGTCGTACATTTTTAACTAATATGTGACCTACGCTCCATTTCCTCTTTTCTATCCTATAGTTTTCATTGAGTTTTTATAATTTTATTATATATTTTTCTAGAATAGCTTTCCCTTGTTGTATCTTTTCTATTTTTCTGATTTTCATATATCTCAAAATTTGTATTTTTCGATTATTCAATAAAATTTTTGCACATTATTGCATTTTGCCTTTTAAATTGTCTAATATTATTTCAAAAGCTGCCAATCATATTGTTGACACTTTTACTTTCACTCTTGTAATCCTTTTCTAATGTCATGTAACTATTATTAATTAATAAAATTTTCTTTTACATCTTCACTATAATTTATCAAATATTATCATTTTATATAGTTAAAAATCTTTTCTTTGAATAAATCCAAAATTGTTGATAAATAATAATCTATTCCTTTTCTCTGGATCCTTTGGCAGAATATCTTACCATTTGAGGTATTCTAATACTTTCACATTATTTACAGGCTATGTGATAAACCTTTTTCCAATTCTTTAGCACAATGATTCTACTCCTCAGATTTTAAAACCTTAAGACATTTTTCTTCCTACTGGTATCTGGTATTCGTAATCATTTGCTATTTAAAAATCCTTTTTAATCTCTCTCATTTTCTATGGGATAAGTGAAAATCCAAAACTCTTACTTTTACTTAGACCCAGTGGTAACCTTTTCTATAATA